CCTTGTGATCCACCAGTGCTTGTAGCACCATTGAAAAGTACCCCTTGCGGTTTATGTACTCGCTGCCTTGGTGCTCTGGTGCCAAGACGGGGATATGTGTTCCGTCTATCACCCCACCACAGTTAGGGAATCCCATTGCAGCAAAGCCATCCACTATGACCTGCACATTTCCCAGAGTCACTACCCTTGATAGCAACAGGTCAGTGATAGCGTTGGCTACTTGGATCACAGCAGCCCCCACAGTAGCTTTGCCCACTCCAAATTGATTCCCAACTGACCGGTAGCTGTCTGGCATTGCAAGCTTCCACAGGGCTATCGCCACTCACTTGTGAACTCTGAGGGCTGCTCTCATCTTGGTATTCTTGCACTTCAGGGCAGGGGAAAGCAAGTCACAAAGTTCCATGAAAGTGCCCTTACGCATGCGAAAGTTTCGCAGCCACTGGGAATCATCCCAGACCTGCAACACTATGCAGTCCCACCAGTCTGTGCTTATTTCCCGGGCCCAGAATCGTTCCACGCCATGAACCTGCCCAATTGACACCATGATGGCCAAATTGCCGGGGATCGTGCTTTGTGAGAAGTCTGTGTCCATGTCCTCATCACTCTCGTCACTGCACTGCCATCACCTCCTTGCCTGGTTTCACTTTTCTTGCAGGTTATGGTTCTGCATATCCTGCTGGATAACACGTGTGGTGTTTTTAGTGCTCATAATTGCCACGGTGATCTGAGCGGGCTCCATGTTCCCAGTGCTAGGGCATCTGCACTGAAAAAAGGCTCAAGAAGATTGTCTGCCGTTGCTCTGATGGAGGGAGGGGCAACTGACAACATGGCTTACAGGGAATTAAAATCAACAAAGGGGGTGGCTCTGCATCAAGGAGAAACAGAATGGCCCCCTCAAGGATAGAACTCAAAACCCTGAGTTTAGCAGGCCGTTGATTTCACGGTGGGAGGGAGGAAGGGAGGGGGAAATGAATACAAAACAAATCTGGTCTATTTCTTGTTTTGATCCACTTCATCTATCTTTATACATCTTGCTGGCAGCAGACGGTGCAGTACGACTGCTGGCCATCGTCATCTCCTGGGTGTTCATTAGAAGATGGTGCAGTAGGACTGCCGGCAGTACTGAATCACCATGAGATGAAACTTAAAAGGGAAATGACCTGGCTGAGTCACTCCCACGTTTGCCCAGGCGCCCCTGACCAACCTCACCGAGGTCGGCTAAAAGAGCACCCTGGAGTACGGCGACGATGGCTACCAGTCATACTGCACTGTCTGCTGCCAAAAGGCAATGAGCTGCTGCTGTGTAGCAATGCAGTACCGTGTCTGCCAGCACCCAGGAGACATACGGTGACGGTGACCTGAGTGGGCTCCATACTTGCCGTGGTATGGTGTCTGCATGGGTAACCCAGGAAAAAAGGCACAAAGCGATTGTCTGCCGTTGCTTTCACAGAGGGAGGGAGGGAAGGGGGCGCCTGATGATATGTACCCAGAACCACCCGCGACAATGTTTTTGCCCCATCAGGCACTGGGATTTCTACCCAGAATTCAAATGTGTGGCGGAGACTGCAGGAACTGTGGAATAGCTACCTACAGTGCAACACTCCGGAAGTCGACGGTTGCCTCGGTACTGTGGACACACTCCGCCAACTAAATGCACTTAGAGCAATTGTGTGGGGACACACACAATCGACTGTATAAAAACGCTTTCTACAAAACCGACTTCTATAAATTCGACCTAATTTCGTAGTGTAGACATAGCCTAGGAACAGCAATGGGAGGAGGTGGCAGAAGTATTGGAGGTGAATAGTGGGCAGAGGGTGGAGAAGGAGACACACCAGCCTGCTCTCACCTGCTGATGGAAGGCCAATGGCATTTTGGGCTGTATAAGTAGGGGCATTGTCAGCAGATCGAGGGACGTTCCCCTCTATTGGGCATTGGTGAGGCCTCAGCTGGAGTACTGTGTCCAGTTTTGGACCCCACACTACAAGAAGGATGTGAAAAAATCGGAAAGCATCCAGTGGAGGGCAACAAAAATGATTAGGGAACACATGACTTATGAGGAGAGGCTGAAGGAACTGGGATTGTTTAGTCTGAGGAAGAGAAGAATGAGGGGGTATTTGATAGCTGCTTTCAGCTACCTGAAAGGGGGTTCAAAAGAGGATGGATCTAGACTCTTCTCAGTGGTACCAGATGACAGAACAAGGAGTAATGGTTTCAAGTTGCAGTGGGGGAAGTTTAGGTTGGATATTAGTAAAAACTTTTTCACTAGGAGGGTGGTGAAGCACTGGAATGCGTTACCTAGGGAGGTGGTGGAATCTCCTTCCTTAGAGGTTTTTAAGGTCACGCTTGACAAAGCCCTGGCTGGGATGATTTAATTGGGGATTGGTCCTGCTTTGAACAGGGGGTTGGACTAGATGACCTCCTGAAGTCCCTTCCAACCCTGATATTCTATGATTCTATGCTATTCTAGGGGGCCATTGGAGCGCGTGGGAGCCGGATCGGGGCCATGCCATGGCTTCCAGGAGCCATGTGGTGCTGCTTCAAGGAGCCACATAGAATCATAGAATATCAGGGTTGGAAGGGACCTCAGGAGATCATCTAGTCCAACCCCCTTCTCAAAGCAGGACCAATCCTCAATTTTTGCCCTGGATCCCTAAATGGCCCCCTCAAGGATTGAACTCACAACCCTGGGTTTAGCAGGCCAATGCTCTGAGCTATCCCTCCCCCACCAGGTGTGGCCCCTGACCCAGTGCCCCGGCCGGAGTGGGGCTGAGCTGTTGGTACAGCCCCCGACCCAGCGCCCCAACCGGAGCGGGGCTGAGCCACGTGGTGCGGCTCTTGGATCATCTTAAAATGGCTTGCAGGCCGGATCTGGCCCGCAGGCTGTAGTTTGCCCACCCCTGCACTATACACTGAAATGTAAGTACAATATTTATATTCCTATTGATTTATAGGGTAAAAATGATATGGTAAAAATGAGAAAGAGAGCAGTTTTTCAGTAACAGTGTGCTGTGACACTTTTGTAGTTTTATGTCTGGTTTTGTAAGCAAGTGGTTTTTAAGTGAGGTAAAACTTGGGGCACACAAGACATATCAGACTGCTGAAAGGGGTACAGTAGTCTGGAAAAGTTGAGAACCACTCTTCTAACTTAAGACAGCTTGCAATAGCCTCCTATAGGCTGAGAAACAGCTTGCATCTGCCTGAGTGACTTGCACTCCAGTCATTCCCCTTCCTTCCTCCCTCCCTCAACATGCCTCCTACATAGTGGGGTAGAGAAGGAAATGGCTCATCCTAGAGATGTGCAATCTTAATACTTTCCCATCAGGGTGCATCCAAATCCTGGTTTTGCTTTTAAATTTAAAATCATAAATTTTATTAAATCAAGATTTTTCTTCATTTAAATAGATATTATTTAAATACATGGATTATTTAAGTTATTCCTTTGCTTTCTTCCCTTTTTATAGTCTTAAATCACTTTAATTTGTTTCTTAATTGTTAGTAGAATTTTCTATTTTACACAGAGGTTTCCTCTACTAAGCAATTTCACACTTAAAGCTTATCTGGGCCAAAAAAGACAAGTCCAGGATGTAGGCCTTGCTGGAGCCCTAGACATAACTAACAGAGTGAACCAAAGGCTGCAAACCAAAGGAGACCTGGCCTTGGCAGAATAGTAACACACCAAGTATTGGCTAACCAAGTACGTACATTCCTGACCAGAAAGGATGGTACAAAGACACACGGATCTCTCAAGTAATTACATAAACAAATTCCCAGGAAATTGTACAGGAACACACCGATCCCTCATAAGAGAGGGATAGAATGACAGGATAAGGGATGAGGATGTTTTGTTTGAACTAGTGCAGTGGTTCTCAACCAGGGATCCGGGGCCCCTGGGCAGGCTGCCAAGCAGGCCAGCATTAGACTCGTGGGGGCTCAGTGTAGAAAGCCAAAGCCGCACTGCATGTGGCTGCAATTCAGGGCCCTGAGCCCGGCTCCCGGGGCTGAAGCCAAACCCTGAGCAATGTAGCTTCATGGGGGCCCAGGAAATTGCCCTGCTTGCCTACCCCATAATGCTGGCTCTGGTTTTTATATGCAGAAAACCAGTTATTATGGTACAGGTGGACCATGGAATTTTTATAGCATGTTCGGGGGGTGGGCCTCAGAAAGAAATAGGTTGAAAACTCCTGAACTAGCGGGTACAAGGATAGGGGTGGTAACTACCACCATCAGGGCACAACACGTAACCTGCTTGTATCAACGTACAAAAGGGGAAGTCCTAGGAGGGATATCTTTGGATTGGCTGAGGGGATAGCAACCTGTTATGTTGATGGAGCCTTTACCTTGTCATGGGCATACATGTGTTCGTGTCCCTGTGACCTATTGGGCAGGGCGCTAGTAACATGCTTTGCTGACAATAAACCTGGCTGAGCACCTTCACCATCAAACCAAGCCTGTGGTCTTTCTTTATGCATCACATAGAGGTCTGCTGAATCAGCACGCTGCACCGTCTGCTACTGCAGCTACCACTGGAGCTAACTCCAGGAACAGCAGCGCTAGCAGTATTAATGACTCTGCAGCACTAATCCTGCCGGCATCATTAACAGCCTTACTGTGACGGATTCAAAACCGACGTAGATAAGCAAATAGCTCGTGCTGTGTTTGCAGCCAGCATGTCTTCCAAACCACTGAACTTCCATATGTCAAGAAAGCTGAACTGCTCCATCCTGAGTCAGGGTTGCAATGGCTGAAGTGATCCCAGAGAATGTATTCAGATGCTGTCTGCTGAGTGTGTGGGTCTGAGTACTGAGGGGTGGGGTCATGTTCACAGCCAGCCGACTGAGCGTGCAGAAATAACTACTGAGGGAGGAGCTATTTACAGGTGTGAAACTGATCATCCCCGTTCACTGGAATATTTGGTATAGTCTAAAGACACGAGAAAGAGCATAAGTGCCATGTGACTGAGATGAGGCTTTTTCAAGACAAATATTCATGTAGTAACATCGGGCCATTCTCGGCTGACTCTAAAATTGCACGCAAAAGACTTGGATGGAAAGAATATGAAAGATGATACTAGATGTGGTCCCAATCCAGCAGTGGGTTGTGCATGCCCAGACTCCGGTGCCTCTGTAGAGCCTGATTTTCTAAGGGTATGTCTACACTAACCGCCGGATCGGTGGGCAGAGATCAATCTAGTGGGGGTTGAGTTATCACGTCTAGTCTAGACACGATAAATCAACCCCCGAGCGCTCTCCTGTCGACTCCTGTACTCCGGCACCGCGAGAGGCGCAGGCGGAGTCGACGGGGGAGCGGCAGCAGTCGACTCACCGCAGTGAAGACGCCAAGGTAAGTCAATTTAAATACGTCAACTTCAGCTACATGAATAATTATAATAATATAATTATAATAAGAAGTTGCGTAACTTAGACTGACCACCCTCCCCCGCCCCCGCCCCCCCCCCCACCCTGCAGTGTAGACCAGGGCACAGAGTCATGGATTTAAGGCCAGAGGGGACATTATAATCAGCTAGTCTGACCTCCTGCACAGCACATGCCAGAGTCCTGTGGTTAAGTTAGAGCAGTGTTTCTCAACCTTTCCAGGTTGGCAACCCCTTACTGGAAGTCAAAAATGTTTGCAATCCCCATTCCCCTGCTTATATTTATTATAAAAGTCAGAGTAAAAATGTATCAACGAGAACAATTCTAGCCTGTGTATGTTGAGAGCTTGACAGAGAATATTTGGTCTTGAAGGGCCTTATTTGCAGATAGTGGGGGGAGTGAGATAGGTTTTTAATGTTTAGGCTGCTCCAAAGTTATTCTGGAAACTTTATTTTCTTTGCTTTATAATTATAATAATTTTCTGCACCACACAACCCCCCTGATTGCCTTTCCTGGTCACCTGTGGGTCGTGCCTTGTTAACCCTTTTTCCCTAACAGCCTCAGCCGCTGAGGAACACTGAGTTCGAGCATATCTTTTTGAAAGCTACAACCAATCTTGATTGAAAGATTCCACGTGACAGCAAAACTTCAATTTTTTAAAAACTGAAAGTTGAGATTCCCATGTAATCACATGGCTCCAGGAGCTGTGGCTTTAAGAAAAACACCAAATATCTCACAACTCAGATAAAATTGCAAGAGTTGGTTACACTGAACAATTTATCAAGACTTGCGGCAGATTTTCCATCCCTGGCGATTTTAAATTAAGATTAGATGCTTTTCTGCAAAATATGCTCTAGGAATCTTTTCGGGGAAGTTCTGCAGCCTGCGTTAGACAGGTCAGACTAGATGATCACAATGGTCCCTGCTGGCCTTGGAATCTATGAATCGGTTGGTTGCCAGAAGGTAGCAAATATTGAGCTGGGGAATTAGTGGGGAATTGAAGGTTTACTGGCGAATTACTCCAAACATTTAAGTCAGTAGCAGTGCCCCTTGTTTCTGTGCAGAGGAATTCACTTCAATTCCTGAAGCTGCTGAAGTGCACAAGAAGGTTGAAAAAATGTTTTCTGAACCACAATTAGATTATGGCAAAATGTTCGGAGAGCATTATGATCAAGCTTTTCATGTTTATAAAAAAAAGCTGTATCCTAAGGCAAACTCACAAGGAGGCAGGATTAAGATTTCACAGGCAATTGTAACTCTGTCATTTCCTGACTTTTCCGGCCTTACTTTGCATTCCTTTTAACGTAGCTACTTTGTAAGGCATTTTCTACATTTTAAAAAAAGGAAATGGAAGCAACAAAGACATTTCACCGTGTTCAACTTTTTGTTCCCCTCGCTTTGCCCCCAAATCTGTCTCCTTCTCCCGTTTCTTAGTCTTTATTTTCTCTCTTAGCCTGTTCCAGATGCATGATAGTACTTTGCCTCTCTCCTCAAGACTGCTCCATCTCCTTGGTCTCTTGTGACGCACTTTGTCAGGGGTTTTTTGAAAGCCCAAATAAATAAGGTCACCCAGTTCTCCTTGATCTACTATTTTATGTCCAGGTTCGAAGACCTCGGACGGACTGATGAGGTGCTATTTCCCTGTGCAGAAACCGCACTGTGTCAAAGCACCTCAGCCTGTTTCCCTGGCACTGGAATGAGGCTGAAGCATGGAATACTCCTTTCTGAAGAGCCCCCTTACAACATGCCACTGTGTGAAAAGGGGAATTGTGGGAAACGGCAGCCATCAGCAGCGTCCAGCCCCGTATAGGCAGCCTCGTGGATGTCCTCTGGCCTCAGGAACACTTCTAACCCCACATATCTCCTAAACCCCCAGATTCTCCCCCATTGCCTCAGCTCAGCACACCTGCAGAGCTCTGGCTCTACAGCCTTGTCTTGGCCAGGCCAGTTCTCCTGTTTCCATGGTTCACCTCCCTCTTCCCTGAGTCATCTAGCCCCTGCCGAAAGCTCTCCCAGTTCCATACATGTATGCCTATTCTCCGTCCCAGATATCAGGGAGCAGGAGCTGCTGTGGTCCTGTGTAGTGTCAACACTGGGCTTATGGGCAGGCCTACTAAAGTCTGCAGCAGGTCCTGTGGACTTCAGGAAGTTCACAGGGATGCAGTGCTACGGGGGGAAGCAGGAGTCAAGGTGTGGGATGTTGGAGCCTGGGGAGTAGTGGGAAAATGACTCAGAAGCTGACTCAGCACAGCTCCTAACTCTCCCTGGCTCCTCATGGATCCCTGTGCTCTGTAGAGCCTCCTCGCTCCCCTGGTTCCATTGCTGTATGGAAGTCAGTGGCTCCATAGGGTAGGGTGCCTCAGTTCCTCCCTACCTTGATCCCAAGGCATGTCACTAACCCAGAAGGAAATCCCCATCCCAAAAACTTGATGCAGAGGGAGTTAAAATTGAGAACACGTACACAGAATGGAAGCAGTGTCATCATCAGCCATACAGAAAAACATCCCTTACCAGCATGGAGGTCACAGGCTATAATAATGCTTCCCAAAAAGGGGTTAAAATATTCAGTTAACAGAAAAAGAAATCAAAACAGCTTGAGTTAAAAACTGTGATGGAGAAAAATACTGTGAAATAGGTCATTAAAAATAAATTGCTGAAAAGGTATAGCCTCAAAGAGTCTGTTCTATACAGATTCAACACTACCCTCATCACCACAGTGTCTGAGGGCTAAGCCCACAACAATAAACCTCCAGCCACCATGCTAAGTGAAATCCTCACTCACCTGGGACATGGGAGACCTGGTTTCACGTCCCTGCTTTGCAGGTGGGACTTAAATGCAGGTTCTTCCCCTCCCGGGGGGGTGCCCTGACCACCAGGCTACAGAGTACACCATGGAACGTCTCTCTCAATCTCTACGGCTGGAGCAGTTCCACTTTGCTCCAACAAATGTTTAATTATTTTTACAGGGTCTTGAACTTCCATCTCCCACAGCCTAGTAAGTGGCCTAACCTCTAAGTTTGGGCACACACCTCACCTGCTCTGCCCCGGCTGTCTTTTATGACAGGTATCAGTCTTAGGCATGCTTTGATTATGCCTGCAAGATTGGGCCCTGCTGGCAAGATAGGCAGGGGAAAAGCTTCATTTGAGAATCCTGCCGGGGCCTAGGTCTAAGTTAGGACTCCAACCAGCTTGTTAGGGGTGGGACAGCACCAATGCTTAGGTGGCTTAGTGCATGCCTGCCAGTGAAACCTTGGGCACCTAGCTGAGCAGTGCTCTTGAGAATGTCCGTAGTGCCTCGCTGGTGGACTTAGAAGCAGTTTGTGATCTAGCCCAGAGCACCTTCCAATCGTTCATTGAGCAAAATGATTAGCAGCTTTCATGCATGGTTCATTCTTTTTCTCATGCGCTTTCTCAGAGGAGAATGGGGTGTGTGGTATAGTGTGTGGCCAAGGCTATCACAGGGTTCAAAAAAATAACTAGATAAGTTCCTGGATGACAGGCCCATCAATGGCTATTAGCCAGGATGGGCAGGGATGGTGTCCCTAGCCTCTGTTTGACAGAAGCAGGGAATGGGCAACGGGATGGATCACTTGTTCATTCCCTCTGGGGCGCCTGGCATTGGCCACTGTCGGAAGACAGGATACTGGGCTAGATGGACCTTTGGTCTGACCCACTATGGCCGTTCTTACGTTTTGGTTTGATAGAGGTTTTTAATTAGTTAGTTAGTTAAAGAGACTTAGTAAAATTATATAAATTGGGAAAAGACTATTATGAGAACCTTGGCAGGGACAAGCTAAAGGGACTTGATGTCCTGAGAAAGCCTCTTGACTCCCCAGTCTTTCAAAAGACACAATATAGTTATATGATCCAACAGCAAAGATATTTCGAGCACATCAGCAAATCGCGGCATTTGCTAGCTAATCTTACGAAAATAAAGCAAGTCAGCAACTGCATATTCTATCTTTAAACGGAATCAAGGGAATTCATAACTAAAACTAAAGGCATTCTTCAAATAGTTCAAGTTTATTACAAAAGCTACTCTCCTCCTCTGAGTGAATAAAGACATAAAAAGGGTAATTGGAAACTTTGGATCAGATTTTCAAAGGTATGGAGGCACCTAAAGATGCTGATGGTTCCTAGTGAGATTTGAAAAAGCACATGGTCAGGTTAGGCTGCTGACTCCCATGGGAATCAAGGAGAGTTAGGCACCTGGCCTGCTTAAACACTGTTACAAGCCCCACTAGGCACCATCTACATTTTAGGTGCCCTACATACCTTTGAAAACGTGGCCCTTTGCTACTTAACCCCTAACACACAAATAAAATTATTCTATGAGCAAATCACACAGGAGGCTCTTAGAAATGCCATTAAAATTCTGACTAGAGGTAAATCGCCAAGATCAGATAGATTCAGCAGTGACTAATACAAAAAGGTTGAATATATCCAGTAAAAGCCATGCTGAATATGTTTATAAAATAGCTTTGGGAATAACAACCTACTTACTAGCTTCCCAGGGGGAAGCACATACAATGTTAATGCCAAAGCCACGCAAAGGCTCTATGCGATGCATGTCCGCCAAAGTCATTATCAAATAGGGATGCAGAGATCTCCTGGGACAGCTTTTACCTTTGCTGGGGCAGGATTTGTCACAAAGAAAAGCAGCCAGTGATCTGAGTAAGCTACTTAACCGAACTCCCCACTCAAAACATTACAACAACCCATCAACAGTGATAACATGCATACTACAAAGGCCTTTAAATTTGATGTAATTGCCTTTTATGATAATCACACTGCAAAAAACTGGATGTAGGAGGCTAATCTATGAAACAGAACAACACAATTCCCCGCAAGCCTCTAGTCCTTAGTGGAATACATCACGTCTTTTTCAGCTAGAACCAGCTACAAGTCAGGTCTGCCCACAACCGCTCCTCATATTCAACTGAAGAGGAGTATTAGCACAGCCAGAAGATTCTCTGAATACGTTAGAGGTAGCGAAACAGCTAGGGAGGCACACAAAGTGGCATTGCATGGGAATGAGATGCTTGTTTCCATAACACAACCAGAGTCATCAGTTCCACGGCTAATGGCAATCACAAAGAATCATACTCAGAGTATAAAATAAACTACTACAAATCTGAATAGCCAGACTACCTTCCTAGGAATTTCCCTCCCAAAAAGCAAAGGAGAAAATTCTCTACTTCAGAATTAAGGGATATGTATAAAGATAATTTGGCAACTAACTGTAAATGTTAGGGAAGATGTTAGTAGACGGGAGATCCTCCCTCAGTCACTACTGGACAGAGCAGTGTAATAAATGTGGTTATCCTGCCAAGCTGCATCCCTTTCTTTAAATACTCGCATTTGTCTTAGTCTAATCAGAATTGTCATTTCTCTTTTATGGTGGGGGAAGAATCATAGAAGTAAAGGACTGGAAGGGACCTCGAGAGGTCATCTAGTCCAGTTCCCTGCCCTCAAGGCAGGACTATGTAATAACTAGACCCTGACAGGCGTTTCTCTAAACTGTTCTTAAAAGCCTCCAATGACTGATTCCATAACCTCCCTAGGCAATTTATTCCAGTGCATAACTACCCTAACAGTTAGGAAGTTTTTCCTAATGTTCAACCTAAACCTCCCTTGCTGCAATTTAAGCCCATTGCTTTTTGTTCTATCCTCAGAAGTTAAGGAGAACAATTTTCACCCCCCTCCTTGTAACAACCTTTTATGTACTTGAAAACTGTTATCATATCCCCCCCTCAGTCTTCTCTTCTCCAGACTAAACAAACCCAATTTTTTCAATCTTTCCCCATAGGTCATGTTTTCTAGACCTTTAATCATTTTTGTTGTTCTTCCCTGGACTTTCTCCAATTTGTCCACATCTTTCCTGAAATGTGGCACCTGGAACTGGACACAATTCTCCAGCTGAGGCCTTAGCAACACAGAGTAGAGAGAAAGAATTACTTCACGTGTCTTGCTTACAATAGTCCTGCTAATACATCCCAGAATGATGTTCACTTTTTTTTCCCCAACAGTGTGACACTCTTACTCATATTTAGCTTGTGATCCACTATAACCCCCAGATCTCTTTCCTCAGTACTCCTTCCTAGGCAGTCATTTCCCATTTTGTATGTGTGCAGCTTCGTTCCTTCCTAAGTGGAGTACTTTGCATTTGTCCTTATTGAATTTCATCCAATTGACTTCAGACCATTTCTCCAATTTGTCCAGATCATTTTGAATTTTAATCCTATCCACCAAAGCACTTTCAACCACTCCCAGCTTAGTATTGTCCACAAACTTTATAAGTGTACTTTCTATGCCATTATCTAAATCACTGATGAAGATATTGAACAGATCGGACCCAGAACTGATTCCTGAGGAACTCCATTCAATATGCCCTTCCAGCTTGACTCTGAACCACAGATAACTACTCTGTGGGATTGCACCCATCTTATAGTAGCTCCATCTAGGTCAATAGTTCTCAACCTATTTACCATTGTGGGCCGCATACAATACTACCTGTATGGCCCTGAGGATGTCACATGGGCCGCAGCTGTGTGCTGATTGGGCCGCAAGCATCCCACAGGCCGCAGGTTGAGAACCACTGATCTTGGTTGTATTTCCCTAGTTTGTTTTTGAGACGGTCATGCGAGACAGTATCAAAAGCCTTACTAAAGTCAAGATATACCATGTCTACTGCTTCCCCCCATCCACAAGGCTTGTTACCCTGTCAAAGAAAACTTTTAGGTTGGTTTGACATCATTTGTTTTTGACAAATCCAGGCTGACTATTACTTATCACCTTATTATCTTCTAGGTGTTTGCAAATTGAATGCCTGATTATTTGCTCCATTATCTTTCCGGGTACCGAAGGTAAGTTGACTGGTCTGTAACTTCCCGGGTTGTCCTTATTCCCCTTTTTATAGATTGGCACTATATTTGCCCTTTTCCAGTCCTCTAAAATCTCTCCCGTCTTCCATGAGTTTTCAAAGATAATGGCTAATGGCTCAGATATCTCCTTAGTTAGCTCCTTGAGAAATTGCACATTACTTTAGAGGAACTTGGCTGCCCAAAACAGAAGGGAGATATTGGGCTACTCTGCGAGGATACATTGTGCAGTGGACCCAGAAACCAGTGGAGACCACGCTGGGCTGGGAAGGGCATTTTGGCCTCAGTGGAGTGCACCAGGCTAGGGAGTTTTTCACTTGTTCTAGCAATGGTGGTTGCACTGGTGTAGACCAGCCATTCACCCTGAAGAGGATAGATGACACAGTGGTACACTATTATCACATCCACCGCTGCTGACTATCTCTCCATTGAGCCACTACTCAGATCTGGCCAGTCAATGTCCATCCCGATACCCTCTTGACTCCATCATGCTGCCCCAGATGTACTTCCCAGTGAAGATTCCTCTACTTATAACCTTTAAAGCCACCAGAGAGATATTTCTACCCTGTGGAAGCCACCTTCATTCTTCCCAAGACCCCCAAGGGCCACTGCAAGGGTAAAGCTCACCTGTGCATGAGACAGAGCTTTCTTTGGGGATGATCTGAGACTGGGGAAATGAACTCCTTCAGGAGCTAAGGATCATCACTAACCTCCCCAGTGCAAGACACACTGCTCCAACCTGCCTTTGCTAATGGAAATACAGAGCAGTGTGTGCATATAAGAATAATAAAAGCACCCTCCCAAACTAAAACACTCCACTGCACCCACACTTCTCCCCTGGGAAGAGGCTGAGAGACAGAATGAACCACATGTGACAGATGTTAGTCATACACTCAATGCATAACTGGAGGGTGGGAAAAGAACTAGGATAGATTTGGGGTCAGCTGCAGCAGACTCTGTATATAGTCCCAATTATCTGCATGTGAAAATAGGGGGTTATAATGGAAACTCTTGAGCAATCTGAACTAGACAGAACACGGTCAGGCACTCATTGTAACAAGAAATGCAACACTGGAGCTGAAAAACAGCTTTCCTGCCAGGGCCTGCCCCATTTGCTGTTAACCCTGTAACAGACTGCACTATGGTACCTGCCTCCATGAACCCAGCAGCTCTGTAAGGGCTAGTGCATAGGTCCTGCCCACCTAAATTCTTGTTAACCCCGGTAAGGATGCACCTGTGACCTAACCCACCTGACCTCCATTAATCTGTATCCTGGAGCACAACACTTCAGTCCTGTTATAGCTTGACAACAGTGTATGCCCCTTTACCCACACGAGAGGCTGCACATTGAGCATACCCATTTCATCCAAGCTATTTTTCTGCAGAAAAGGACATAGGGGTTACAATGGACGAGAAGCTGGATATAAGTCAGCAGTGTGCCCTTGTTGCCAAGAGGGCTAACAGCATTTTGGGCTGTATAAGTAGGAGCATTGCCAGCAGATCAAGGGATGTGATCATTCCCCTCTATTCGACATTGGTGAGGCCTCATCTGGAGTACTGTGTCCAGTTTTGGGCCCCACACTACAGGAAGGATGTGGAAAAATTGGAAAGAGTCCAGCGGAGGACAACAAAAATGATTAGGGGGCTGGAACACATGAGTTATGAGGAGAGGCTGAGGGAACTGGGATTATTTAGTCTGCAGAAGAGAAGAATGAGGGGAGATTTGATAGCTGCTTTCAGCTACCTGAAGGGGGGTTCCAAAGAGGATGTAGCTAGGCTGTTCTCAGTGGTGGCGGATGACAGAACAAGGAGCAATGGTCTCAAGTTGCAGTGGGGGAGGTTTAGGTTGGATGTTAGGAAAAACTGTTTCACTAGGAGGGTGGTGAAGCACTGGAATGGGTTACCTAGGGAGGTGGTGGAAACTCCTTCCTTAGAGATTTTTAAGGTCAGGCTTGACAAAGCCCTGGCTGGGATGATTTAGTTGAGGATTGGTCCTGCTTTGAGCCGGGAGTTGAACTAGATGACCTCCTGAGGTCCCTTCCAACCCTGATATTCTATGATTCTATTGGGATCGATTCAGGAATCACTGGGTGAGGTTCTGTCGCATGTGATATACAAAAGATTCAGACCAGATGATCTAAGAGTACCTTGTTGCCTTAATATCTACACCTCAGTTCACCCCACAATAGTCTGCACTGCTCTCCAGCCCCCATTAGCCCTGCAGCATAGAAAGAGACATCAGAAGAAATTCCCATTTGCCTTCTCATGTTCACTGAGATCTGTGAGGCTCATTTTTGTCTAGCAGACATAAAATTGGGTGAGAATAAATTCCAAGCAGCTAACTGTCAGCACAGCTCTCACATCCAGCCCAGTACAGTGCCTCGCTGTCTGAAAAACTCTCCTCGCCCGTCCCCCTGAACTCCAAAGCACACTGGGCAAGAAGTATTAAGGCTTTAATTAGTCTGTAACTGAATGGCTGAATAGCCTCTGGAAGCTTTAAAAGCAGAAGTGCTAAGTATCCACTGCAAAGGTCGGTTTGATGAATGTGAGCAAATCTTTCCCTCCAAGAGAAATTTACAACCACTTTCCTCTTTACAATGAAATCCTCCCCACCTGTTTTTAGGGCTGGATCTTTGTGAGATTCATTAAATCAAACAGCAAACTCTTAAGATGCATCAGTTCCTCTGTTTCCAAAGCTGTTTGTAGACCCAGTTTACCCAGAGTTGCGTTTGCCACTGCCCTTCAGCAGATAAATATCCCCCATAGAAACAGGAACAAAGGAGTTTTGTTTACCTTACAGCTTCATTTTCGGCTCACAACTTACATCTAGGCTTCTTTCTCAAGGTGAAGTTCTGGAGATTGTTAAGATGCTTGCTTTAAACCGTTGTCTTCACCCCGTCTCCCCAGACACCGTGCGTTAGATGAGCTTACCCCAACTTTAGCAGGATGAGAAGTGAGGCAGAGAAGAACAGCTTCTGGCAACAGAGAAAGGAGGGGGTGGGAAAGGGAAGAGAAGAGATGAATCTCCTGCCAAGACAAATGAAAGCCAGAAACATCGTGTATAGAAGAGAGGAGGATTAGCTTAAAAGAGAAATACAGCTCCCAGGGCTGCTGGTGTTTATTCCTTAGGCAAAGGGATCATTATTCATTTCTGGTCTCAGTCTTAACTGCTCCCATTCTTTTCTTACCATTAGCCAAAAAAATAAGGGAATGGGCAGAGATCCTATTAATGCATGGGCACAAAGAGAAACCCAAGAACTTTCAAGATCCTTCTGAAATGGCAAGTAGTCTTCATAATAGGCTGATTTCCAGCAGTCGCTGTTGATTGCAGAGCGCTCAGCAGCAAAGGAAATGCAAGCAGCACTCCTCAGGCCATGTCTACATTAGAAAGTTTTGCCAGAAGGACTTTTGCTGCCATACATCTGCTGACGTTGCTACGTTGACAGAGTATATGCACGTGGCTGCTTTTGCTGACGCAGCACATCCTCACCGCACAATGACTAGGCATTGTGTCATCAAAAGACACAGCGCACCATGGCTAGGCATCCCATTGTTCCCTGTGCCATCGACCGGCACGCTGCCATGTGGAACACCATGGCGGTGTATTGTGGGATACCAGCACTACACTCAGGGAATTATGAGAGCTTGGAGCGATTTCCCAAAATTCCCTTTCTTCCATCTTATAATGTTTCTTCTGTCCCATACTTTTCTCACTGCTTTTCAGTTCATAACAACCTATTTGTTGGAATTGAACTAGTGTACTTCACAGGCAAAGCCTTGACAGTAATCTCGTAATTGATTGTCCCAACAGATCATACCATCTGACCGACCTGCTGATCGTTTATCTGCTGGCAGATTCCTCTTCCTCAGCATCCATAAGCTGACAGGTAAGGCTGTGCGTGACATGGTGAGTTGGATGAAACTGAGGGACATTTTGCATGTCAGTATGGATTGGGAAGGTCAGCAAAAGGCTCAGAGTGACATTACAGCGATTCGGGTGGCTTCTGATTGTCGGTCTTTTACAGAGATGAGCATGTGGGTGGCTGTGTCTGGATGCACCCTCAACTGTCACTAAGGCCAAGATATGCCAAACTGCTGAGCTGGTGCAGGGAGCTGGTTGTGCACTCGCAGTGCTGCCTGGAGCTTTTGGCCTGTCAGCATTTCCAGCACAGGTTGGGCAGGCGTACTTGACCTCATAAGTGCAGCGGAGAGGAAGCGAGGCAGGGTGTGTAAGCTGGCCACAGCCATGGGCTAGTGGGCTGAAACAGGTGACACGCTCAAACACTTGCTGCTGGTTTGTCGTACCTGAGGGTACCTCACTCAGCAGGCACAGGCAGAGCAGTGACTCACCAGCAGAGCCTTGGCCAAGGCTAATCACATATATCTTCCAAGGTCACTGTTGAAACTGAATGTGATCCCCCACAAGGTGGCCCTGGGTAAGACAGACAGATGCACTAGTGATTGGTGCTACAGTACAGACTGCCTGTAGCTAAACACCAAGCCATGTGCACTGAGGAACAAGGCAGGGACTGGGGTTGGGGGGTCCAGGCCCAGCCAGAGCTGCTCAGCCACTTTGAGAAACAAGCCACTCCATGTGGAGAAGGGAGGTTCCAACTCCCTGTGACACCAGTGTGAGAGGAGACACACCCAAGCCTGCAGGCATTGTCCAGCCCCATTGCCCACTAAACCACAAGCTACTCTCAATGGATTGTGTTACCCCAATTGTCCTTGGGGAACAAACAGCCATACAGACATCAAAATGGCTCCTAGACCACACAACACAATTTCATGATCCAGAAAGCAGAAACACCCATTGGAAAAGTCAGTGTGCCTCTGCCCCACTGGCTTTTCATTGCACTGGGCTCCTACCAGTCACCCATGTACAGTGCTCCCCCATGCACCAGGTGGCTGCAGTTGCCGGTTGATGTCGCCCTGCCTTTCACAGAAGGACCCTTGTTTATGAAAGGGCCAGTGCTGTACTCTTCAGTCCCAGCTTGCCCTCATTCAATCTCTTTCACACCCACAGTTTTTCTTGGCTCCAGCACAAAACACAACTCAATGTATTAAGGTCCATTCGCCTTGAGGAAATGGATGGTAAATATTGAATGCAGTGGCCTTGTTTAAAAAATGAGAGGGAGCTAGTTGGTATGTGGGGAATGCTTCAGAGCCACTGGGTCCAGCTCACAGGCTGGCCAGATGTTTGAGAACGCTGATGGAATTTGCTTGCTTGGATTTTTTCTTGCAAAAATGAACAAAAAAATTACAAACAGGGGGAGCCTTTTACTGGGAAGAGTTTGCAGGCTCCTCTATCTCCCTCTCCTCCCCAGAGCACTGGCTGTAGTTTAGCGTTCAGACACTGCACATGTACAATAACTATCTAAGGTACTTACCTGGCCCCCCATCAACATAGCATCCGTGGTCCTCAAGACCATGAACACACCTGCCCTCACACACCTGTGAGGCAGGGCATGGCTGTTGTCTCCATTGTACACATGAGGAACTAAGGCACAGAGACTCTGTTTACACTGATAAAAAAATCTGGAGTACCGAGTCTCAGAGCCCGGGTCAGCTGACACAGGCTCAGAGGGCTATAAAGTTGGAGTGTAGATGCTCAGGCTGGGGCTGGAGCTTGGGCTCTGAGCCCTCCCCCCGCGTGGGGGGTCTCAGAGCTTGGGCTCCAGCCTGAGCCCAAACTTCTACCCACAATTTTATAGCCCCACAGCCCAAGTCAGCTGACCCGGGCCAGCCGTGGATCTTTTATTGCAGTGTAGACACACTCAGAGAAGCTAAGGGACTAGCCTGAGGTCACACAGGGAGCCTGTGACAGAACAAGGAGCTGAATCTAGGTCTCCAAGCCCTAAAAAAGTGCCCTGTCCACTGACCCATCCCTCCTCTCCACCTGGGCTAGAATGTGAAACATCACCTGAGGCTACACATCCTAACCAAGGTTCAGCTGGGTAGCCTCAGAGGTTTCACATTCTTGACCACTGAGGTGAGCTTTAAGAACAAAGAGCTACTTAGAGAAATAATGCTAACGTAGCACCCTAGGAGATAACCGTGTAGCACTGCTGCAAGGCAGGGACCTGTGCTGCCTTGAGCTTTGCTAGGTCCGCTGGGCAATAGGGCAGTGCTGGGAAGGTGTCAGGGCCACGGCACCTGCAGAGACCCCAGCAAGAACCATATAGTCATGGCTGGCTCCTAACAGCGTGCTTGGTCCAGACTGGATGAAACTGATTTGTAAAGACATTTTATTTATTTTTCATTTTTCCCTCATGTCCTCACTGCAGGGTGTGGCCTCAACTCTGCTCCTGCTCTGCCAAGGGCACCTGTTTGTTAAGTTGTCCAACAAATCCCTTTGCACCTTCTTCCACACTGCCCTGTATGCCTCAAAGGAGGCTCTCTTGTAGCATTTGCAAAGCCACTGCACCATTGCCCTTCACATTCTTCCTGAAAACTTACCTCTCTAAGAAGTCTACAAAAATCTCAACAATTAGGGAGCTGGTGCAGTGTGGCCTCTGCTTGTCCTACTGAGCAGCACGGTCACATGGGACCTTGTGCTCCCCCATCCCTTTGTCGTATCCACCAGTTTTCTCATCTTCTATTTAGACTGAAAACTCCGAGAGGTAAGGACCATAGGTGAAATTTTCAAAAGCTCCTAAGTGACTTAGGAGCCTGTCATGTTCTGGGTGAAAATCCAAACCAGTGAGGAGTTGCAGCACCAGCTGCCCTGCAATCCTGGGTGCCTCACAATGCTTTGCTGTTCTAGCTCCCAACCTGGGCCACCTACAACCAGCCTACCAGCATACAGGTCACACCCTGAGTGTGCATGCGCTAAACAGCCCTGGTTCAGCAGCTCTGACCTCAGCAGCCTGTCTACAGCCCCACTCTGGCTTCCACCAGCCTTGGTTACTACTCACATGGTGACCCAAACACACTCAAAGTTTGGAATTTTCCCAAAAACATATGTTCTGCAGTGTCCAGCCCCCTCCTGGATAGTTGAAGTAAATAATATGGTTCAGTTTTATGTCATTAAAAGTAAAAACACATCACAGCCTACTAACTTAACTGGGGGCAAATACACCTTTCCCTTTACACACAGCACTGAGTTGGACTGTGGTAAAAATGAAATAAGCTTATTAACAAAATATACATAGGATTGAGTGAGTTCAATTATTAGGAATGAAGACAGAGAGAGTTACAAGTCAAACAAAACAAAATATGCTTCTAAAGTACTAAAACTTAATCTAGCAAGGTCCAGGCTTTGTTCAAGATGGTTTCTCTCACCATTCTTCTTCCGATCCATGGCTGACTTTCCCTCCATCAGGACCATCCACAGAAGTACAAGGTGCTGGTTTCCCCTTGTCTGTCTTCTAAGGTGAAAGATCTTTGCTAAGTAGGTTTCTCACCTACATTCAGTTCCAGAGACTTCAACCCACCTTGGTAGAAGGACTCATCTTTCTCAGTTTGCAAGGGCTTGGTTCCCTTACATCTCTCTAGTGATGGATATCAAAGATGGCTTCTATCCTTACTTATGTCTCCCAAAAGGCAGGATGACTTCACGCTTTTCTTTCCCTTCTGTGGGCTTCCCATCCCCCTGTATGGTTATTGTGTAAATTGGGGCTTCCATTGTTTGATTCCACCATGCTTAATCAGGGCCATCCATAGGATTTATGGGGCCCTATGCAGTATTACTAAACTGGTGCCCCTACGCCCTATGCTGGGGGAGGAGGGGAGGAGGGATGAGGCAGCAAATGATACCGAGACGCCTGGCCCGCCTCACAGCAGCACAGAGTCACAGTTCCCCGGAGAGACCCCTGTACCCTCTCCCTCACGCAGAATGCATGGAGCCAGTGCATTCGGCTCTGTGAATATGGCCCCTGCCTAAAGACACTGTAGTGTGCGCTGGGTGTGCGGGAGCCAACCCGCTCTTACCTGCTGTCATGGGCAGTGGGTGAAGCTTCCGCTTGGGGAGGCTAGCTCCCCAGCCCACCTCTTCTGCCTGTGGCCCCACCCGTACTCCACTCCTGCTCCGCCCCAGGCCCCGCCCCACTCCACCCAGGCCCCACCCTCATCCCACTGTCTCCCTCCTCCACCCTGCTCACCCCCTTCCAGCCAAATCCATGAACCCAAATGAAGCAAATGACATCTGAAAAAAACACTCTTCTGCAATTTCTTTCTAAAGAAAGTGGAGCATGTTTTCCACAGCATGCCAGACGGTGAAGACTGGACACGCAGAAGGTACTTAATTAAAAGCACTAAACTTGGGAATAAAAATGTCAGTCACAGGTTTTTTGATATGCCTTGAAGTTTGTTAGAGATTTAATGAAGGGAGAAAGCGATGGACAGAAAGGACAGGAAGACTTTGGAAGCAAGTTTTTTTTACTATAGTAATTAGAATTAAAATGTGTATTTTTGATAAGGGTTGTCTTCTGAAGGATTTATTTAAAAAACTATATGTCTGAAGATTCAAGCATTTAAGGCTAAAGATGATTGTGCATCTAAAAATCTATGCGAGGATTTTTTAGTGATGTGATTTTATAATCTTCATCAACTCACTAATGAAATATTTTTAAGCAAATTTTAAACTAAGGTCCTGTAGACTAACATGTTCTAAGTAAACATTACAGTAATGCACAACGGTTTTTGTCAGTAAATTCAGAAACTGACAGTATATACCTGAGGGCTGGTAAATGCCTGTTAAATGGCTTCATTACCACTTGAATGGCTCTTTAACAGTCTCAATGTTGTGCTAATAGGTCTGGCAGGCTGGAAGGGCTTTTTCACTTTTAAGTTATTAGATCCCCTCCAGAGTAAGAGTCACCAGGCTGCAGCAGCTAGCTGTGGGAGCCTGCAGGAAGGGTCAAGACTGGAGGGTGGACATTAAG